GTCGCCTCTTTGCATCTTGAAGATACGATGAGAATAAAATTTGATTAATAATCGATAAGGTATCACCGACAGCTGTTAGACATGGAAGAATTGATAAACCGAACTGGATATTTTATAAACACATTTAAATGTTAGTAGAAATAGTTTTTCAAATTTCTGTATTTATGACATTCGAAAATGACATTCTGTATTTAAAAAAAACCGCAAGAAATCCAATTTTCCAAATTAATAATGAAAGGCTAGTAAAAAATTTAACTTTTATCAAAGAATCTCTGTTTAAATATATGTGAAAGGTTTCTATTACAATGCAAGATTAAATATCTAACAGTACCAATATAATATGTCTATTATTTACATTGAAAACTGTGCATACAATGATTATTACAACTTACAAAAAAATTTGCTTTAAAAAATAAGTAATTTGCGGATAAAATTAACAATTTACAAATGCTTACTGCTGCAATTATTGTTTATAACTTACAATTGGACGATAATATTAATCTATATTCGTAAAATTTCTATGAAATTACGACAAATTGCAAACGGTTATCTCTGAACATGATTTTCGCAAAATCGATCCTGGATGAAGTCAGTCTTTCGCTCTGCATCCTTTTATTCAAATTTCATCTAAATTAATCCAGATTGCTGCAGTACGATCTGCTCGTGGTAGCGAAGGTGGATAGCACGGGTTAGGAGGGAATAGGGGTAGACGAATGACCCGGAAGTCGTAAGGGGAGCATCCGGGCATTGTCTTGCGCCGACAACGACGACGTTCCACGAGTTGCCGGCAACTTCAGTAATTATGTCGTGCTCGTGAGTTTAACTGGCCCCGTCGCACGAAATTGCAATCTGACACCGGCCGTCGCCATGTCAGTTTCAATTAAGGATTTTATCCTCGCTCCCCTAACATCTCTGCTTCTCTTCTCGCTCTATGATCCTTAACAACCGTGGCGACAAAATTGCCAACGCGATCTGTGCTTAAGGTGCATCCACTAAACAGAGCCCTTTGTATGCAGAATTCAAGTTTGACATTTTACCTTCAAGTTGCTTTGAGAAATATTTTTAGACCGTTTATTGCAATTTTAATCTAGCATTATATAAAAAATAATTGTATTATATTATAATAATTAATAATAATAATATTATAATAATTGTACTATATTATAATAATTAAATGCTTGTTCGAGATAACATATTACATTCAATCGCCGAATTCTGAATCTCTAGAAATGATAGTGTCCAGCACATCAGCTTCGCGATGCTTGCTGGTCGTCGTGAGAATATTCAAGCGGATCTTGCGGTCTCCTTTGCTAGTATCCCCTGAGGTTTCCCACCGGTGATTCTACTATTATCCTACTTGTAAACGCATCCTGACACACGTCCGGAATGCGGAAGATGCAGTCACTTCCGGTCACGCGGATTCGAATAGTCACGTCCGTACCCTCTAACAATAATGGCGACCTAGATGACATATCACCGGGCGATAAATTATAGCCGATAGTTAACCTACTGGCACGTACTGTTTAATTGTCCAAATCTTGTAAATGCAAAATATTAAATTTTATCGTTGTTAAAACATATAATTAAAAGAATAACTGTATACGTATGAATACTTACGAAATCGAAGATTTTTTCATTGGTGTTACTCGTGGATTTTACAGATTCGATTTTGTTTCGAATAGTAACGATTTACGCACAGTTTGACTTAGTTTAAAAATTTAGGAATTATTAGCACATTTACATCGAATGATTAATTAGTATTCTAATTCGTTCGAGAGATAAAAGCAAATCTTTAACTTACCGAAAAATATTTCCTTCCTAATCATGTACTGTACATTTATTGTATGTGCATCAATACGAGATAGGTCAAAACTTTTCATTTTCCCGTTTATTTTGCCGAAATAGGTCAAGTAGGAAATAAAATGGCACGGTTGATCACAATCATACATCGCCTTCGAAAACAAAATTGACCTGTTTCGGCATTTTTCACACACGAATCAATCGATTAGAAAATAAACAGAATGGAAAGTTTTTCTTGTCTCGCCCTGTATATGAACACTGTATATTTTTTTTCGTAAAATGAATTGCGTAAGAAACCTTCATTTCCATTCGTATTTATTCTGTTCTCTGTCCTTGCTTTATCCTTTTCTCGTCGTTCCCGTTCTGTTCCCTTTCATCTGCTCTTTTTTTGTCTTCATCTTTTCCTTTCTCTTTTCTTTCTTCCTTTTCTGACTCATTCTACCAGGCAACCTTGCCTCCTGTCTATTCTCGTGCTATTCTCGTGCTCTTTCTATTCTCTCTCCTTCTCTGACTTCACATTTTCCTTTCTCTTCTCTCCTCTTCTTAGCTTCACTTTTCATCTTGTTCTTTTCTGCTCTTCTCTTTCTTTCTCTCGTTGCTATCTTGTCTACATTCTTGTTTTTAGGCATATTTGTAGATAAGAATTCCTTTATTGAGGTTCTTTACTTGTGATACATCACAATATTGCTTGAAACTTCTAAGCCTACTCCAAAAATTAATTTTGTTATAAATTTATAAGACTTATTAATTTTTTTTTTTTTTTTTTATATTGTCAAAATTGTGAAATAGTGATTTCGACATTTGTTTTATTCGAGACGCATGTATTTTAAATCTATCAATCATACACATTTCATTGTTAATTTGGAAACAAAAATACGATGAATTCTCAACGGACTTCGCTTAACCGTTAGTTAGAGACTCCCACCATTTCTAGCGGGACTTGTTGACTCCCAACAGCTGACGGCCACAGTGGCCATTACCATGTGCAAAGCAACGTGACGCATAGGTCTGTTCAGTACACGGCGTGTCTTTGCTCATGGCACTCGTTATAGTCGGTCATCTAAAATATTATTTAGGTATTTTCATGTAGAACTTTTTTACATTTTTCTCTCTCAATTAATAAATAGAAAAGAGTGAAACAATGAAATATCGAAGCATTGTGACAATAAAACGTGTGTGCCAGTAAAAGATTTACATAAAAGTAATATGAAAAAATATAAATAAAAGACAGATTTTACAAATAATAATTATTCTGTTAGAA